ACACACACACACGCACGCACGCAGCCCAGGGTCAGTCTTAGGCGATGGAGGTGGAGGAGCATCTGCGAGTGGCAGACCGTTATTTCTGTTGAAGCCAATGAACCGTACCTCGCTGTTTCCCCCTCCCTCCCCAAGTCCACTAAAAAAATAAATACATGTAAAAAAAGAAGCAAGGAGCTCATTCTTCACCCTCTCCCACCCCACCCCCCATTTGTATCAGAAGGGAGACAACTGTCACTATGAACTCCCGTATCTATGTCTTCAGTCCTACCGCTAAAATGCAAACCGCAGCCCACACGGGGTGAGCACCTGAGCCAAGACCAGTGAATCCAGACACTTCTCCCTTTTATCTCTCGTTCTTGGGGTTAATAACTCGAAGTCATATTGAGAAACTAAAATTGCCTTCCGCAGGTTAGAGGCACCCCCATCCCTGCCTTCGCGGCTGTGTCCGCACAGCCTGGGAGACTGTCCTGGGCTCCCCGGCTAGGATGGCCTGCTTTTGTTTTCATTAACTTTTATGTATTTTAATACATCCCCCCCCATTTCGTGCTCCCTCATCAGGGGCCAACTGGGAAGTCCTCCCTGAGTTCTAACCTCTTCTGCTTTCTGCAGTCGACTATATTTAGGTAAATAAGTCCTTTTATGGTATTGAAACAGCCACACACACGGTTCCGTAGAGAGACTCATCTGAACCGAACATCCACTGAGACAACTAGGGAAGAAAGAAGGGGTGCTGGGGCCAAGGACACCCCTCTTCGGGTGGCTAACCCTGCTGCTTACAGTCAGCAGAGAACTTGGTGAGAGAGTGAGGTGCGAGAAGACTTTGACAAGGATTTTTAAAAATATATTTTTATTGATTTCAGAGAGGGAGAGAGAGAAGCATCAGTGACGAGAGAGAATCATTGATCGACTCCCCCCTGCACGCGCCACACTGGGGATCAAGCCCATAACCCAGGCATGTGCCCTAACTGGGAATCGAACCGTGACCTCCTGGTTCATAGGTTGATGCTCACAACCACTGACCCACACCTGCCAGGCAAGAGGATTTATTTTTAAGGGTCCCCTCCGCCCAACTCCAATCCTACAGAACTTTATTGCACAATTTAGCGGGCTTTCCAGTTAGGAAAAAAAAAGCAACTGTCAAAGTTTATCTCCTGTCGCCCCCGAACTTCATAATGGCAGGAAACTGTCGTGAGCCATCAGGGAGGGCTTCCCACACGTCAGAGAACCTGAGGACAGTGAAAGGGCAGAAGGAACAAGATGTTTTTCTTGTTTGTATTTGTCCAAAGAACAAAGTCTGGGGGTGAAAGAACATGGCTGAGCCTTGTTTTGGGAGGAAGGGGTACAGTGATGGGAAAGGATGGAATGACCTCAGCCTAGGGTGTGCGGCGTCCTGTGAGTCAGGAGCATCTGACTGATCATGGGGCCAACTGCCCCCTCCCGAGAAGGGCTAGGAAAAGGGAGAACAAGCTGATTGCTATTACTCTTCTTTGGAGCCAGTTTCCATGCTGCAATGGGCTAGATTAAAGGTGAACCTGTCAGAGGTTCCCAAAAGCTCCAGAACAAGTAGATTCAAGATTTTTAAGAAGAAATGCCAAGTAGAGGGTTTGTAAGTTATGCGTTAATGTAAGAAAATTCCCCCCCTCCTTCCCCTAGAATTTGCAACAGTCTTTTTGGTTTTTCCCCTTATAAAGGCAGAGACTCCCACAGCTGTTTCCATCAAAGAAATCCTTCTGTTATTTGTTGTTAATTTTTTCCCTCTCATTTTCAGTCAGAGGGCACCTTGTGGTCATGGGGCTGCTGTACAGGAGCAGAAACTAGACCTGAGAGAGACCTTGTAGTAGAGGGAATTCCGTTCAGGGCATCTTTTTTGGCGAGCATGGGAAAATCCCTTTCTGTGGGCCAAGGACAAAAAATCGGGGGGAGGGAAGGGTTAAGTTTGGAAGATGGGTAATTATCAATGAGACTTTGGGAATTAGAGGGGGGAGAAACAGTACAGTGGAGAACAAGGGTCTTGGAGCTGTCCATCTTCCCCGGGCCTAGAATATACTTGTCCTAATGCTTGTGTCAGCCATCTCCTCCCTCTCCCCACCCTACCAAGCGTTCACCTCTATCAATGTGTCTCCTGCCCTCCAGAGCTCCTTATCAGCGGTGTCCGAGCCAGAATACCCCCTCCCTTCCCCTCCCTTCCCTTCCCTCCTCCCTTTCCTTCCCTTCCCTTCCTTCCCTTAAGGAAAACAGAACAAGTAACTCTCTTCCCCTGGCTACATACACACACCCAGCACTTTCCTCTCCAAGATTTCTGGCCTCTGCTGATAGCCTCAGCTCTGAGGAAGGAGGGGAGAAAAGGAGCGATGCTTTATCCCGCCTCCCTGCCCATGTTTCTGGGAATTGTTCTTGGATGCTCCTTGCCAGCATCTTGTGTACATCTACCCATAATCCTTCAAGGCCTCTGACCCCTTCCCAGCTCAAAGCCAGGGCGCCCTAGAAAAGGGAGAGCCCAGGAGGAGCCAAGCCCTGCAGAAACAGAGCGGATGTCGGAGCAGCGTTCACCTGACGGGCTGTGTGATCGGCTCTCGTCACGGCGTCAGCCCCCTGCGTCCAGCGGCAAGTCAGAAGGATGGGCAGGTGCCAGACCGGAGATGGGCTGGGGGATAGAAGAGAGAACCACTTCCCTGCTTCAAGGCTGTTGAGAACCAAGAGGATAGAGGAAGTCACCGCCACACACACACAATTCCTGTTTCAGAGCTTGACAAGCGGAGACTCTTGTGAAATACTTCCAGTCAAGGAGAGCGGATGTCTTCCAAGGAAGAGATGCAGCTCCTTTTATCTGTTTGTTTCGTTTTAACAAGACAAGTGCTGGTCTCTCTTCCCAGAAAACCGGGACCAGCTCATTGCCAGGGTCTGCTGACCCCCAGACTCCAGCAGCAGAGGGCGAATGGGTTCTGATCACAGGTTGCTTCATCTGGGCCTGCAACGACGTCTCCTCTCCTCTCACAAGCCCAAACAACCCCTGAGTCACAGCTTCTGACTCCCAGGGCTGTGGGAAACACCTCAGGGGGCAGGAGGAACAAACCCCCGAGAGGGTGAAAAAGGAAGAAATGCTAATGGAATTTGCTTTGTGGAACTCGGAAAATGCTGGTTGGGGTTGCAGGATGTCGATAGAATTGTGGTCTCTGGTCAGACGTTTTGCAAGAGACTTAAGAGCCAACTGCTGGATAGATCTGCAAAGGGTAGAACCAGGGTGCAAGATGGATACTGCACACAGGAAAGGCTACGTTTAGACACAAGGAAGAACTTCCTGGCAGGACGGGGGCTTGGGCTCTCAAACTGCAATCCTGGGAAGAGCTGGCAGAATACGTTTTTCCAAGTCTGGAATTCAGTCCTCCAGGGAGAGTGTAAGTGCAGCTCTGCCTGGAGAGAGGTGGCGGATTGGAACGGCTTCTCAAGCCTGAAGAGCTAGTTTGGGCCGGCACAATACGTGAGGGGAGGAAGGAGGGTTGGGAGCCACAGGTGTATTTTTCAGCTTACCTGAACAAACTGAACGAAACTCCTGAAATGAAGGAGGTAGATGACTCTATAATAGCATATGTTGGAGAGTGAGACACATAGGGTAAAGAAAGCGACAACAGGACAACATAAACCTGAGATGGGGAGGCCAGGGGCAGCCCTTCGCGGCCTCCAGACACCCTCTGACATAGGCCCTGCCTTCACCTCCTCCCGCTGGACAGTCCAGGGCTCTCCGGCCGTGCTTCCGTTGGGATGACAGGATGAACCTGGTAGCTATGTAAGCCCGTCTTTCGAAGGAAGGACAAAGTGGGAGTCGTGGACAAGGGCGACCGACTGGGGTGCTTGGCAGAGGACAGTCGGGAGGAGGAGTTTGAGCAGAAACCCACTGAGGAGTCAGGACGTGGCTGCCCCAGCGCTGTCCCCCACTGTCGGCCTTTGTGGGATAGGCCTTTCCTGTCCTGTCATCCCTCCCTCTCAGGCTTCCTCTGTCCCCAAGGCTGATCTAACAGGTGGGGGAAAGAGACTAAGTCATTTTATCTTCCTCACCTCGCCTCCAACCCCCCGCCCCAGGTGAAAGATGAGAAAAATATCCAGGAGGTGTTTGACCTGAGTGACTATGAGAAGTGTGAAGAGCTCCGGAAATCCAAGAGCAGGAGCAAGAAGAACCATAGCAAGTTCACTCTTGCCCACTGCAAACAGCCCGGGAACACGGTATGTTCTCCCTGCACCACGGCCACAGGAACACTGACCAGGTCAGGGTTTCCACACCTTTGACGCATTACAACCCTGCCCTCAACTCTGCTATTGCCCAGGGCCAAGAATCGCATCTTGGATGAGGTCAGGGCCTGGCGGGCGGGGGGGGTGCGGGGGGGATGGACACCTGTCCCCTCCAGGATCTCTCCCTCAGCCTCCTGGCTCAGAGGCCCTGGATTACTGCTCCCCTGTCAGCTTTTATTATTTAACCTGAGAATATTATGGCCATTCCTTGCCCTCCAGGCAAGTCAGCCTTCAGACAAAGGTCATTTCTTTCTCCCTCTGCCCCCTCCTCTCCCTTGCATACGCACATATGCGGGCACACATGCACGTCACTAGGGAGAAAATCACTTTTCCCTGTATCCTGATACGTGGTTGAATTTCTGAATCTCATGTCTCCTGGCTGAGGGAAGCCATTCCTATCACATTCTGTTTCTTCAAACAGTTAAAAACCTTAGTTTGAGCACTGTCCTTCAGCGAACCTCCTCAAATTATTTCCACATTAATGTCCAAGACCCTTCTCAGCTCTTCTTTGGTCCTTTCTAAAACAGCTTGCAAACTGTGGCATTTTGCAGGGATAGAGGCTGGTTTCTTTAAGTTACGGATGACTCTGAAGCAGACTCTTTCTCCTTCCAGGAGCTGGGTCTCAGAGAATGAGACTATAATTTCTTTCTTCACTGTCAAGGTGAGACACCACCTCTAAAACCCTCGCTGAAACAAGAATCTTCCCTCACAGGCACCCAACCTGATCTTCCTGGCAGTGAGTCCAGAAGAGAAGGAATCATGGATCAATGCCCTCAACGCTGCGATCACCCGGGCCAAGAACCGCATCTTGGACGAGGTCAGGGGCTCATTGTGGGGAGAGGGGCGCTAGCAGGGGGAGCTGCTGGGGCTCACAAAAGAAGGAAGGTTATGGCAACCCCCGTTTCCTTGCTCCCTCACCAGCTCCCTTTCGAAAACCCTTTTTCTCTTTGTACCCTCTCAGTCAGGGGTCCTCAAACTTTTTAAACAGGGGGCCAGTTCACTGTCCCTCTGACCTTTGGAGGGCCGGACTATAGTTTAAAAAAAAACTATGAACAAATTCCTATGCACACTGCACGTATCTTATTTTGAAGTAGAAAAACAAAACAGGAACAAATACAATATTTGTATTTGCATGTGGCCCGCGGGCTGTAGTTTGAGGACCCCTGCTCTAAGTCTTTTAGCTAATTCCCCCTCCCCTGCTCTGTGAGGCCGGGGCCAGCCTTGGGCAGACTTGAGGAGCCCCTTCCTATCCAGTAAATCTTGCCCTTAGATCTGCTCAGAAGCAGTTCATGGGTAGGTCTATTTCCAAGCCCAGGCATGTTTAGGCCTCAGGGGGTGCGGGGTTGGGACAGATTCTCTGAAGAGCAGTCATAGCCTCACAGTGCTTCTCTTCAGGTCACGGTGGAAGAGGACAGCTATCTGGCCCACCCCACTCGAGACAGGGCAAAAATCCAACACTCCCGCCGCCCACCGACTCGGGGACACCTCATGGCCGTGGTATGTCAGACGTAGAAAGTACAGATTGCCCAAGGGCCAGTTCCGCGTCAGTCCATCTTAGCTAGGACTGTATCTCAGAGATCCCACCGGAGGCATTTGTGATACCAAGGTCAAAAGCTGGGCAGTCCCTCTACCCCACCCCCCTGCCTGACTCCTCCAGTTCAAAATATTTGTTCAGCACCTACTATGAGTTCTAAGTCCTTGTCCTCAATAAATTCATCATCCTTTGGGGGAAAGTGACAAAGGCTGTATAAGCTACTATCTTATACTTATATGGTGGCCAGCTGTCTTGACAGGTAATGGTGTTAGGTTCCGCAGGCTCAGAGGAGGAAGGATCACAGTAACAGCCTGCCCCCACCACCCCCCCCAGTAACATACAAAGTGGCGCTTCTCTCTGCGTCCAGAAGGAGGGGCAGTCAGGTAGGAGGAACGTAGGCTCTGGAGTCAGGCAGACCCAGGTGGGAACCCTGCTTTGCAAATCAGCTCACTCTCTGGTTCCCGGAAGCTGCGTGTCTCCCCCTGTAAAGTGGGGCAGTGATCGCCTGCGTGAGGGGCTGCTGTGTGGGAAACCACGTTTGCATCCACGCCGCTGAGGCACTGAATACCCTTAGCACTTCTTTCTCCATTAGAGTATTCCAGAAACAGGAGAACACGTTTGGGTGGAAGGCAAGGGGTCCTGAGTTCCCGGTAGCAGAGGGGCTCGGGTGTGGCTCCGTGGAGGCAGGCCCTGTGCTGTGTGGGGCGTCAGACCCAACGCGCTGCCTAGAATCCATGATGCAGAGGAAGACGACACTTGGCAGGAAGCTCTGGGCACAGTGGGGAATGTGGGGAACAAGCATGAGAAACCGTTTTTCATCACAGAAAAGTAAAAGGACGAAGTCCCGCTCAGTGTCAAAGGAATAAGCAGCAGCAGCAGCCAGAGGGCCCAGCCGGGAGGGAGGGCTTCTCATCAGGGAAGCTGCTGCGGAGAAGAGCGAGCACAGCTTGTGTGTCTCGGACTGCCGCTCCTGGCATGCCCACCGACCATGGCTCACCCCTCCCTCCCCGCCTCTCCCCCTCCAGGCTTCGACCTCTACCTCGGACGGGATGCTGACCTTGGACCTGATCCAGGAGGAAGACCCCTCCCCTGAGGAACCGACCTCTTGTGCTGAGAGCTTTCGGGTCGACCTGGACAAGTCGGTGGCCCAGCTCGCGGGCAGCCGGCGGAGAGCGGACTCGGACCGGATCCCGCCCTCCTCCGACCGGGCCAGCGGCCCCCCTCGACCTTGGGAAAAGCCAGGCAAGGGGGCCACCTACACCCCCCAGGCACCGAAGAAGTTGACCCCCACAGAGAAAGGCCGCTGTGCCTCCTTGGAGGAGATCCTGTCTCAGCGGGACGCGGCCCCAGCCTGCACCCTCCAGCCGCGGGCCGAGGAGCCCCCACACCCGGGGCAGCTGTCCCGGATCCAGGACCTGGTAGCAAGGAAACTGGAGAAGACTCAGGAGCTGCTGGCGGAGGTTCAGGGACTGGGAGACGGGAAGCGAAAGGCCAAGGACCCGCCTCGGTCTCCTCCCGATTCTGAGTCCGAGCAGCTGCTGCTGAAGACGGAGCGGCTGCTGGGGGAGGCGTCTTCGAACTGGAGCCAGGCCAAGCGGGTGCTGCAGGAGGTCAGGGAGCTGAGGGACCTCTACAGACAGATGGACCTGCAGACCCCCGACGCCCACCTCAGACAGACTGCCCCGCACAGCCAGTACCGGAAGAGCCTCATGTGAAGGAAGGGGACAGGGTCTGGAACTTGGGAGGGTGGGGGCACAGACTCCGATCTCCAAGTGTTGCAGGAGAAAGCTTTTTTATTTACCTCAGTTAAAAAAAGAAAACAAAAACACAATCAAACTTGTTGCTCTTGCTGATGCCCGGCCCTCCTGCAACCTTCCTTTCCCAACCCCCTTCCCTTCCGTACCCCCCTCTCAGGTTTGAGGAGGGGGTGACCCCTGGGGCAGCATTAGGAAGCTTTGCCCAGATGAAGAGAGAGAGAGGGTAGCAAAGGCGCAGTCGGACCCTTTCACACACGCCACCCCTCTGAGGCAGTGGGAATATGCTCCCAAGGTCACGTATAGGGTTTATGTTGGAGGGCGGGTCCCAAGTTTTCAATCTGAGGGTGAAATTTTAGCTGCCCAGCCCCAGCTCCAGGGATGTGGAAGCCAGAGCCACTGGTCCACGCACAGAGAAGTGAAACTTACCCCGGGCCCGAGAGGATCGGGGGATTAAAATCCTCCCTGTCGGACACTGGCTTCTCACGCCCAGCGAGAGCCCCGACTGAGATTGAGCTGCCTGCCTGCCTCTCCCACAACCCTTCCCAACACCGATTCAGAGATACAGTGGGTGCTGGGATGGGTTTGGTCATGTGACTAGAGCAGTGGTTCTCAACCTGTGGGTCCCGACCCCTCTGGCGGTCGAACGACCCTTTCACAGGGGTCGCCTAAGACCATCCTGCATATCAGATATTTACATAACAGTAGCAACATGACAGTTATGAAGTAGCAACGTAAATAATTTTATGGTTGGGTCACAACATGAGGAACTGTATTTAAAGGGCCAGAAGGTTGAGAACCACTGGACTAGAGGGTCCTAGCACAGAGGAACCAGGGCCAGCTGACCTCAGTCGAAGAGCCAGACTAAGAATGAAACTGATTTGTGATGCAAGCTAGGTTGGATGAAGGGGAAAACCAAACATGTGCCCAGGTTCCTCTTTGGGCCACGCTAGGTTTCCTGTAGCCTCCCCCTCCTTCCTTAAACCTCCGCCCGAACTCATCAAGCCCCGACTTTAGAAAAACATCTCAATGCTCACACCTCCCAGCTGGTTCTCTCGCATGCGGGCCTGTGGCAGGTCCTCCCCAACTCGTTTCATTTTGTTTGCTTCTTTCCTCTGAAGTTTCTCGGATCAGGTTTAGTAATGAGTTTAGGTCCAGAGGAGGCTTGTGAAGGTGAGCTATGAGCGATTTTTGGAAAGAAGGACAGAGCCTCATGGACCAAGTAAATGAGGAGTTCAAAGGCACTTGATCTGCTTCCCTAGATCTCACAAGAGCCAAGGTCGAGAGCTTCACTAGGAGTGAGAGGGGAGAAGGGGGCAAAAATGGGGACAATGGCTGGTAGATCCTGGCTATGAGGCTGCCCCAGTGCGACTACATTCAGGAAGATAAGGTAGGAGGGAAAAAAGGTAAAACCTGTGGATGAAATACAGACCCTTCGATTCCCATTCTGCTCAGACATTATCACTCCCACAACCCGTGTAAGCAAGATGGGAATTCTCTCCAAGTTAAACTATCTCTAGGGAGAGATTTCTGCTTTTAGTCCCTGCCGCTCACAGTCATGATTTCCCCAGCTCTGGCCTGTAGTTACCTACACTAGTCTCTTCCCTGGGAACGTACGCCTACAGAGTGGGGGGAGTGCAGCAGAGTGCCACCTACAAGCCATCCCCAGAGCCTCCCGGGGCAGCAGGTGAGGGAATCTGGGTCTCCAGACTTTGTCCTCCAAGCAGGCGTCACTCTCCTAAACTCTAAGCATGGACAGCAGGCCCTTGTCACAACATTGGACGTCTAGGTTAAAATACTTTTGCCCTGACTGGCATGTCTCAGTGGTTAGAGCATCTGCCACCAAAGGGTTGCAAGTTCAATTCTCGGTCAAGGGCGTGTACCTGGGTTGCAGGTTCAATCCCCAGCACCAGTTGGGTTGGGTGCAGGAGGCAACCAATCGATGTGTCCCACGTTGATGTTTCTCTGTCCCTCCTTCCCTTCCACACTCTAAAAATCAATGGAAAAAATACCCTCAGGTGAGGATTAACAACAACGAAAAAGATACTTTCTTTATATAAGTCTCCATCTTTGTATGAATTTTATTTTCCCTCTTTCCTCCTTTGTCGCTCCCACATAATGAAGAAAAAGACGTAAGCAAGAATGGCATGTATAGCTCAACATGTCAATTATCTGTGGCTCCCAAGGGAGCTAGAGGATGGAGGAGACACTGGAAAGAAGAATGACAGGTGAGGGGAAGCAGAAAAGAAAGACTGGGGACCCCGGGCCACCAAGCGCTGGGCACTGAGCTCCTGGGGTCTTCAGGCACCAGAACCAGGTCACAAGGTGGCAAAATGAGCCCAATTTTGGAGCCAAACAGATGTGGGTTCAAATTCTGACTTTAGTTTGAGGCTCTGGGCAGGGCACAAGCATTGTGAAAGTCAATGTTCTCATCTGCAAATGGAGAGGTATTGTTGGAGGGGTAAAGACAACCTATGGGAAATGCCTGGCTGTGGATAGATGGCCTCTGGCGCTCGGTGGGGGGCAGCTGTGGCTGCTGCAGCTGCTGCTATCAGCGTGACTCAGTGGCTAGAAGAGGCAGCTCAGGTGGCGGGAGTACGACTGGAATGCGGCCTAGGGCAGGGGTTAATCACTGTCACTTTGTTCTAGTCCGGGAACTGATCCAGTCCACAGGCTCTGCCCAGAGCCCCCGCTTCTTCAAGGCGAGAGTGCCAGGAACTGTGCTGAAGGCCAGAGGCAGAAAGAACTTCAGGGCTGAGCACAAAGCCAAGCTTCCCGCCAGAAAAAATAGCTTCGGGTGTCCCCTGATGGTGGTGCTGCCATGACGTCTGTTAACAAGGAGTGAGCATGGGCGCTCTGACTGCGGAGGATAATGCTGTCACTCTAGGGCTCCCCACCTACAAGCCACCCCCCACACACACACACACACCCAGCACCTCTCCTTCCTCCAATGTCTTCGCCTGCAGTGGTTTCCTTACTTCCTCCTGTCACCATACTCTGGGGTAAATGGGTAGATGGAGTGGGGGGATGTGGGCAACTTGCTTACTGCACAGTTGCCCGTAGACATTTTTCAGGATGAATAGTTATTCTTTCTCTCCCCCCCCCCCCCACCCCCCCCCCCCCCCGCCTTCCTCCCAACAACTTTGTTACATTCTATTCTTACACAGTTGAACTGGAAAAGGGAAAACCTTTTGGGGGGCCCTAGGATGGGGCGATGAGGAAATCCAGGACACAGAGTTCAAGCGGGGTGAGAGGTAGAGACAGGGAAAGAACTACATGCCATTTCAGATTGCAGTGGCATTTCCTCAACTTTTCTTGTTCTTCCTCTTTAAATTGTTAAGGAGGTGGCTGGGGGGACAGTCCAGGCCTTGCTCCATCAGGAAGACTGCCTGAGGTGTTGCTCTGGAAAACTGATGAGTCAATTTGCATGCGATTTCCCTATTTCCACAGCATTGTTATGGGTTGTTCAGGGTGAAAAGGAAAGGGGGGGGAGGCCCAACGAGTTTCTCTAACTCCTGCTCCAGCCTTCAGGAGCCATGCCCTGCTAAGCCTAGAGCTCTGACCCCTCTCCAGCAGTAAATTTTGCCTCCTCCCCCCGCCCCCCCCAAAAAAAATCCAGTCCCAAAGACCCTCTCCTTTCTCTAAACCTCACAGGCAAGCAGACCCAGCCCCACTCTGCATCCTCAGGTCTGGGCTCCAGCTGCCTCCCTCCTCTCACCCCCTTCCTTTGCCTGGTTCATTTCTTTCTCTGCCTTCTTCCTACCTCCCGGTCTCCCAACAACAGCAGCCAATCCCCAGCTCGGTCTAGAGCCACACCATATATGGAGAGATTGGAAAGCAACCCGAGTAAATACGGGAGGGAACACCACACACACACACACACACACACACACACACACACACTTTGAATGCCTTTCTGCATGTGTCTGTTTGTCTGAGTGCATGACACCAGTCCCACCCTTCCCTGTCCCTGGCTCACCCCACCCACAGAATGTGGAACCTGTTTGCCTGTATTTTTGCCCCTTGAGACCATCACGCTAACCAGTTCCCTCTGACCTAGATTCTCTGCACTAATTACAAGGTTAACGAGATCTAACAAACACCCAACTTAGCACAGCGGAGACCCTCGAGGTCAATTAGTGCAACCCAGCTCAACCAGGGACGGAGAGATGGAGCCAGAAACTCCTGTACATGCCGAACCCCAACCCCAGCCCAACCCTGGGTTTCCTTGCCTGCACGGAGAGAATGCAAAAATTAGCAGGACCAGTTTAAAAATAGGATCTTGGAGAATTAATAAGTGTGGGAGAGCTGTGTTAAGGTTGGGGAATACAGACTCCCAGCTCTTCCTGGGCTATTAGGAAGGTAAAGGTTGGTGCAGCTACAGACATGAAGGACAGACACTTTCCATTTTCATAAAGACTAGAACTCTTGCCCTGACTGGTTTGGCTCAGTGGATAGAGCGTTGGCCTGAGGACTCAAGGGTCTCAGGTTCGAGTCTGGTCAAGGGCATGTGCCTTGGCTGCTGGCACATCCCCACTGGGGGGTGTACAAGACACAGCTGATCAATGTTTCTCTCTCATCGATATTTCTAACTCTCTAGCACTCTCCCTTCCTCTCTGTAAAAAATCAATAAAACATTTAAAAAAAAAAAAAGACTAGAACTCTTGATCTGCATCAGGCTCCAACTCCTAATCCTTCCTCCTCTTTGCTTCTTTCTTTGGACAAATTGGGGCGATCTCCCCTGTCTTTCCTGCTGGTTTGGAAGAGTTCTGAAATCACCTTTCTTTCAGAAATACTAGATTCAACCTCATTCATGCTTTTCCATGACAGTAAATGACTCCTTCCTCCCAAGAAATACAGAAAAATGTGAACTAGGGGTGATCAGGTTTGGGTAACAAAGTGCTGTCGGACACTTTGGGGTGGTGCTCAGATAACTGTCTCAGGGTGAGAGGAGATGGTTGGAACTGGTAGCAATGGGAATCTGGTTGCTTTTGCAAAGCTGTCCTACCCAGCAGCAAATGCAACACAACGAAAAGAAAGTGAAATAGGGCCATGTGCCTCGGGGTCCATTTTTCTG